AAACTTAATTATAGAAGTTACAAAACGAGAAACAACAAGAACTTATAAACTTTAAATTTTCTGAAGATAATAATAGTTTTTTAATCAAATAAAAGATTAATAATATCTTTTTCAATCAAATTAAAGATTAATAATAGAATATAGAATATTCTACTATTGAAGTCAAGTTTAGTGTTCAATATATGTATTATGCCTATAAAATATAATAATCACATGATAAAATGTAGAATTATTTTATCTCATATTTGGTTAGAAGTATTAGATAGTCCTTAGATTATTTATCTCATTATTTTAGTTTTTGTAATGAAATAAATTATCTCACATATATTATAAATTAATTTATCACAAAATAAATTATTTCGAAATAACTTACTCCAAACCAAACGATCCGAGTCCCAACCATACATATTTATGGACATACATATCAATATAAAGAGTGGTTGCTACTCAACTTGAGAGGAAAACTTATTTATGGCATTAAATGTAAAATATTGGTCTTAAGCCTATTTTATTTTCATTTTAATTTGGAATTTACTTTTTCTTTAAAAAAATAATAGTTGATATAAATATTTTATCACAACATATATTAATTGATATTTAGTCTCGAAACTTGATAAATGATTTGGAAAATAAATAATTAATGTTTAAGGTAAAACATGAAAAATATATATTGTTTTATATGCTCAAATAATAAATAAAAGTGATAATGTACTTCCAATATTGTGGAGATGTAAAATTAAAAATATATTTTAATATAATAGACAAGTAAAAGTGAACGAAAGAAGTACTATTTATCTCTCTTAAACATCTTACTTATTAACACGCGTTGACACTTTTCTAAAGAACAAAAAATTTAAGATAAAAGGTGGATGCACAATATATAGTACGAGTTCAGAATTGATTCAATCTTCGTATACGTAGTGAAACCACTAAATATATACATATAGTGAATTGCAAATCCAGTAAAATCAAAATTAATTGCAAAATTTATGACGAATCATCAAAGTTTATGAATTCCAAATCTTGAATACTGTCTTTATTTAATCAATTTTTGTCAAAACTACAAATATTTATGAACTTGGACATGATAATATTTGGTTTTCTAAAAAAATAAAGTTTGGTTAAATAAAATTTTTATTTTATTGCTATTGCCTGGACCGAACCATGAAAAACATTATTACTACTATATAGTCACCCCAACTGTGTATGAAATTGATGTTCTCAACTTGGCATGACAAGTAAAATTAATCTTAGGTGGTTTAGTGTTAAAAGTCTTTATCATTATTCGTGCAATTTAATATTTTATAATAATAATATAATCAATGTAATCTCGTAAGTGAGATCTGAAGAGGATATGTATATAACTTTTATTTTTATCTTATGAAGGAAAAAAGATTTGGACATGTGTAAAGGAGATATATAGATATTCCAGTTCGGAGGTTGACTATGGATATAATCACCGCTGAAAAAGTGTAAAAGAAAAACAATCATACGTAACGTAACTTACAGAGAACATGATCTTAAATAGAAGGTTATGGGATACACGGAATAAGATAGAATCATTGTGTTGTTGATTCCTCTTTAATATCAATCATACCATTAGTAGCAAAGATAGAGTATTAAAAAGGAAAGGACCAAATATTTTTTCTTATATTTGTTACCAGAAAATATGATACTAGTGTATGAGCCATTCTCGTGTGTTTTGAACGACGAAAGGCGACAAGGACATACCTCGCCTTATGGCGAGTCGCTCGTCTTTATAAAGTGTGACACCATTTAATATGTAATTTTTTCAATTCAAAAACTAAAAGTAGATATACTAAAAGTCTAGAACTTGAATGAAGAAAAAAAAAATCAAAACAAAGATAGAAGTACTCAGCTTTGAAGAATAAAAGAAGAAATACGTATTGATTTGACTTTCGAGTCACCGAAAAAGCCTAGCTAGTTGCCGGAGGAGTCTAGCCGAAAATTCTTAAATTTCCATGCAACTTTTTAAACAGTCAATTTTTTTTTTGAAAAAAATACAAAAGGCGACACCTTTATAGTCTTTCTCGCCATCATGGCATCACCTTTTGAAGATCGCTTTGCCACAAAGCTAAAAGGCAATGAAAGGTCACATCGCATCTTGCAATTGGCGACGACGCAATCGCCTTTCACAAAACTGTTTCATCCAACTTAATGAAGTAATATAAATACTCCATGAACCACACAAGTAGGGTTTGTAAAGGTTGTAAATCTTACAAATATCATGTAAAGGTAGAGAGACTGTTTCCAGTCGACAATTAGTCAAGACTCATAATTGAAAAAGAAACATGATTGTTTTCAAATAAACTCCAACCAAAACTGATTTGATAAGTAAACATCTAAATTTTACACTCTAAAGAACAATTATAGAAGTTCTCAAAGCAAAATCTAACAAAGGAGTGCCCAAAGGTTCCGGCAAATACGCTGTTATCATCAAAAGCCAAGTATCATAAATGATGGGAAAAAGGAAGACGGCTCGGATGACAAGAGTTGCTCCTCTTTTAACTAAAATCCATACAGGATTTGATCCCTTACTTGGCAGCCAAGGAGGGGAATTGGCCAACATCTTCGATGGATGGGGCTGAAACGCTGTTGTTTCCAACATATCCACCGCCATAACCTCTTCCACGGCCACGGCCCCTACCACGCCCACCAGAGCGGTAGTAATTTTCTCCCTCAGCAGGCTTCAGAAACTCGTTTATGGTTTGAGTCTGTAAGAAATTGAATGTATCAAGCAACACACAATTGAAAAAGTTACACAATCTATTCACTCAAACCGTTTGTGTATCAATGTCTTGTCGTCAGTACATCATGTACTAAGATTGAGTACCCTAATAAATGAAAATTTTCACAGTTCATCTTTGTGAAAAAAACAGAATGCAATGATCTTAAAGTTATAATGATATTCTGTGGTGAAACCATAAACTATAATATACTGATATCACATGAATGCACAAACACGCATGTTGGGAAAATTCGAATAATGACACCTACAAATTTTTAATCCCTCAAACCATTTTTCATCGAAAATACAATAAAGGGATGAGAATGGTTTCTTTGCATCTGGTGAAGAATGAGTGGAGATTGATCTCTGTTTAAAAATACCATTGACTTATTTTACGTGATTCTGGAGGTACAAAATAACACTTCTTTTTTCAGTTGGGAGGGGCTTGCACTTGTGGGGCGCTGCAGGATGTATTGCTCTCCCCTTAAGCAAACACCCTGCTAGCCGCTAGGTACATAATTTTTCGATAGATAAGAGTTTATGGAACGGAATGGAATCCCAAGGAACAGATTAAAAATGATGCAACAATACCACATAGCAAGTTAAAAAGAAGAAGCCCAAGTACCTTTTTGGCTTTTTCCACTGCCTCCTTTTTCTTATCTTTCTCAGCACCCTGCCAAGACATACAAGCATGATGAATTAGCAGCCTACGACACAATCGAGTTCCAAATAGAGCAATCAAAAGCAGCAAGCACTAAAATAACTCACCAATTTGATGAAAATCTCATCATCATTCTTCTTGTTTGAGAGAAGTTGCATAGATTGAAGTTCTTTGTCCAAATTAACCTTTCTTTCCTCCTGCTTTAGAGCCACCAAAGCCTTCCTCTTCTCCTCCATTACCTTCTCATACTCCTCGAGGGTCATCTCCTACAACATAAGCAGAGATGAAAAATTAATAGTTCTGAACAGTGACAATAGATACATATGAAAAATAACAACTGGAATCATGCAAATAACACTAGCTACAACATTGTAAGTCAAACCTCTACAAGAAAAGTAATCCACAAATACTAATCAAAGTAAAGAAGCACCTAGTCTACCAGAAAAAATTAGTTTAAGTTCATAGAAATATCTGTGACAGGAAACATTTATAACAGCATAATGCTAATTTAAAAAGAAACGGTGAGTAGTAAATGAAAAAAACAATAGTAGCAAGTGGTTGTTTTATTTTTCAGTCCATGCTTAATTGTTAGTTCCTTGTCTACATTGGAAGGGGTATGAAACTACCATAGGAAACACTGGGAAAAAAATTGAAGAACTTACCAACAATAAATAAAATAAATTACTGGTTTCGACAAGTTAGATTGCACTGGAATATGGATAAGTAACTGAGCCAATATTATTCCTTGCCCAGACTAATTTAATCGACAAGGAGACGGTCCAAAAATTCAATATTGAATTTGCACCTCATTTCTCTCCCTTCCTTCCCCCCAATAGCACCCCACTTAAGAAAATGATAGTGCCAACAAAGATGTCAATTGGCAACAATAGATAAGGGCATGTAAGCAGACAAAGCAAATAATGGTCTTCACCAGAAAACGTCAGTTACCTTCTCCTCAGGTTCCTTCTCTTCTGGCTCAGCAGCAGTAGAATCCTTGTTGTTATCTCCAGCATCTTCCTGCCCAGTTTGTTTCTCAGCCTCGACAATCTTCTCACCATCAACAACAGGTACTTCAGTCTCCCTAAATTTGGATTAAAAAATCAACATTACGCTACTAGAAAAAATTTAATAGGTAAAGCCAATGAAAGTAAGGAAACAAAAAATAGAGATGATAATCTCACGGTGCAATATCATCTGCAGTAGTTCCCCAATTCCCACGACCAGAGCCCTCCCGTTTAATATACTCATTCCTATAGAACAGAAAAGAACAATAAGATACACACATGTGCTCAAGAAAAAAAGGCTACCACAATAAGCACACCTTAGAGTTACTGAAAAACATAACAAAGGGAATAGTGAAACGTACTTGTATGCATTCAATAAATAGCAAAATCACTTACCCACGGCCAGTGCCACTTCGTCGATCGAACACTTTCCTTGGGCGTTCAATTTCTCCATCTGCAGCATCCCCATTATTGAAACCACCACGACGACCTCCATAAAAGCCCCCACGAGATCCACCGTATCCACCTCTCCTTTCAGAGACCTTTCCTGATTCTCCATTTTCTGGAGCACTGTACCTCCCAGAGAATCCATTATTGCTGCCAAAAGCATTCTCATCAGCAGCAAAGTCTTGGTTAAACCCACGTCCACGTCCACGACCACGGCCCCCTCCACGTGGACCCCCGCGGCCTCCTCCTCTCTGGCCATCACTCCTGGCTTCCCTCACTGTACAAGAAGGATGACACAAATAAGTGATGGGAAAAAGTAATCACAGTGTCCATATAAGTCAATAGTTGGGGCAATGGCACATTGCGTAAGAAAAATATTAAGGACAAAATATTAAAGGCTAATTTCCATTATTAACATTATGATTATTCCCAAACTATTCTCCCATGTATACTAGTAAAGAACATCCATTAAATAAAGGGCAAACATGGAAACAAAAGTACCAATAATTTTCTTGAACTTTAAGCAATCACATATTTTGAACAATGAAATAAGTCCAAGTAATTCACTTAATATGAACTAAAGGGCTAATACACAGGCGCATCTACAAAAGTAAAGACTCGGCACAACTTAGCTTGAGGGAGCACTATTTAAGAAAACATATGTAGTACAACACGGGAATAGGGTAAAGACAAAGTCGATTAAGTTGATTCACAACAGGTTAAAACTAAATACCAGCAAAATCCAAAGAGTTTTTTAGATGACTGAGAAATCCATATGTGACACCACCCTTTGGACCAATCACAGCCTTCTAAAATCGGCCTTTGGACCAATCACAGCCTTAATTGGCTAGCCACAATACCGTTCTCCACTAAAATACGGGGCTTAGTTTGTGTGGTGTGGGAACTTGAACCTGCGCCCTAAGCCACAAATTGAGCTAACTTCCCTATTATAGAAATAAGGTCCAACTGAACAACACAAGATATGACACATCAGACAAAGGATACAATCATTAAACAGAAAACTGACGTATCACATTTTCCAGCCAAT